CGCTGGAGAAGGATATCATGCTTGGTAAGATGGAGGGTCAGAGAAAAAGAGGAAGACCCCCAGCGAGATGGATTGGCAAAGTGGCAGCATCAGTGGGCTCAAGAGTGGCAACCATTGTGAGGTTGGCTCAGGACCGGGCAGTGTTTCATTCTGTTGCACATAGAGTCGTTATGAGTCGGTACCGCCTCGATGGCACCTAACAACAACAACCACAAAAAAACACAGTCCACAAAGACAGTGTTCTACATCCTACTTTACTGAGTTGTGACTAGGGTTTATAAAGTTCATGAGCAACTATCTAAAGTACAACTCCTGGTCTCTCCCTATCTGGAGGGAAGAAGAGTGAAGAAAGTTGAAATAAGTAAAACAATCGGCCACATGAACCTCAGTCTCCACAGCTCGGAGATCAGGAGAACTAGATGGTGCCCGGCTGCCACTGCCAACGGCTCTAAAAGGGATCACATTAGAAGATGCTGGAGAGAGTGGAAAAAAGGCGATTCAAAAAAAAAAAAAAGCTAGTCTTTCTGGTCAGATAGAGACTGGTGGAACTTCTGAGACAATGGCCGATGGCCTTGACCTTTGAGGTCTGGAAATGAACTCACCTCCGTGGCTCAATTTTCAACCAAACTCCAGGCAGGTCTACCATGGGACCAAGAACACTTGTGAGCTACTACGCACACCTTAAAATCATCAACAACTTGAGATCTAAAGGGCAGCTGCGTTCAGAAGGGCTAGAGAAGACGGCGAATAGGAAACAGGAATTATAGAGAAGATGCGGTTGAAGCCTTGGTCCATTATGAGAAGTACAATCAATGATAGGAAGCAAAACGCATATAGATTGCTGAATGGGAAATGGATCTGCTTTATAACCCTTCGAGCAATTCCCAAGAAAAAGTTAAATCAATGAATAAATAATCCCTGCACCTAGGATGCTGATCGTCTAGGGGAGAGAGATAGGGGACATTAAGAAATTAAATGAAAGACAAAAAGAGCTGACAATCTGACGGAGCGCAGGATAAGTGGCTGCATCTGGGAAATGGGTCTAGCTTGCTCAGCTCTGGTGAGGGTTAAAGATGGCTTCTGTGACATGACCAGCCCTTGGCCACATAGAGACTAGGGAAGATATAGAAGCTAATGATGAGGTGGGGGGGGGTTACCTGTTGAAGAGGTGACATTTAAACAGGGTCTGAATGGCAGGAAGGAGTCCGTCATGGTCAGAAGAGTGGGCAAAGTTGTTCAGACAGAGGGAACAGCCCGTACAAGGGCCCTCAGGTAGGTCTGTGCCTGTTAGGTTGTAGGAACATCAAGGAGGCTCATGTGGCTGAAACAGAGTAAGTGAGCGAGACAGAGAGAGGAGGGGAGGGCAGGGAAGAACAGCCCGTGCAAAGGTCTTGAGGCAGGACCAAGCCTGGGGAATTGGAGAGACAGTGAGGAGGCCCATGTGGCTAGAACAGAGTGACGGAGGGGGACAGCAGGAGGAGATGGTTTCTACAAGGCCTTGTAGGCGACTTGGGAGGAGGGGGGACTGAGGTTGTGAAGGATAGAGCAGCAGTCTGGATTTTAATCGAAGTGTGCTAAGAATCCAAGGGGACAGGATTTCATTTCAGCTTGAAAAAGATCCCCCTGATTGGTCAATAAACAGACTTTGAAGGTGGCCCCAAGAAGCAGGACAAATTGGTTTGAAGTAGAAAAGTGAGAACCAATGGAAGAATTCTCAAGGAGAGGGAAGCTGGGGAGGCCGAAGTGATGTAGCGATAGGGCTAGAAAGTTTGCTTGGGTCTGTTAACCTGCCAGGAAGGAATGGTGTGTCCAGTACCCTCCCTGGCTTTTCAGATAGAACTTGAACTCCTGGGGAAAAAGTGTTCCAGACAGAGGGAACAGCGCTTACAATGGCCCTGAAGTTAGATCCTGTCTGGTGCGTTGTAACAAAAAAAAAGAAAAGCCAGCGGGCTAGAGGGAGGGTGAGAGGCAGGAGAGCACCTCAAGATCGGGGCGGAGGTTGTGGTTGAGTTTGTATCCTGTTCTAGGAGCCTTTACTGGGAGTACATTCTGGAATCCTGTAATGCACAAAGGCCTCTCTGGCAGCGCGGGGAGAATGAAGTTTAGAAGGGCTTGGAGAGGGCAGGGTAGGCAGCCGGGGTGATAGAAAAGAGGAAGGTGTGCCAGGGAGAAGGAGGCTCACGTACTCACCCCAGAACTGTACCAAGAGGACCAGTGCTGTGCTCAAGGACGCCATTCCTGGCCTATGGAGACCCCTCTCCCAGTCTGAGCCCAGACTCTCCACCTCCCACTTGACAGACTTCCTGCCACAGTCCCCGCCTCTGAGGCCTAGGTTGATGTGACCCCAGACCAAGGGAGAGACGTCCTGTGGCCAAAGCTGCTTGGGGTTTTGCTTCCTGTTACCCTGTGCCTCTGTTTCCCCAAAGACCCAAAGTGTTTCTTACCTAAAAAGCAGCAGCAACAGCGTAAAGGTGGGCAGGGATGGGGGGTGGGAGATGTGTTGCAGTGAATGGAAATCTTTCTAAAAGATCATACATGAGGATCCGTCAGAATGTATTGCTCTTAGGGTTCTAGTTCATATAGGCGCAGGTTTATTCCAAACAAGATGTGTTTAAATGCAAGTCATCCGCGGATGGTTGCAAGACAAATTCTATCAGGAATATACTTGTCTTAGTCTCGTTGTTGTTGTGATGTACCGTGGAACTGGTTCCGACTCATAGCGACCCTGTACAGTGTTTTTGAGGCTGCAAATCTTTACCGGAGCAGAAAGCTTCATTTTTCTCCTACGGAGCAGCTGGTAGTTTCGAACTGCTGACCTTGAGGTTAGCAGCATTGTTGTTGTTGTTAAGTGCCATCGAGTCGGTTCCGACCCATAGCGACCCTGCATGGGGTTTCCAAGGAGCGACTGGTGAGCTTGAACCACCGAGCTTGTAGTTCAAACGGCTTTGCAGTCTGGCGCATTAACTCACAGCACCACACCAGGACAAGGCTTCAAAAAGAAAAACGTTCACTAGAAACAGTGGCTTCTGAGAGGATCTGCGGCCAGTTAAATTCCAGGCAGGGAGGTCAGCTCAGAAGGTTATGGAAACTGTTTTTCCGGAATTCTAAACAGATCATCTTGATAGATTTTCTAAAAGGACATAGGATGATCACAGGGACTTAATATGAGGAAGAAGTTTTCAGAAAATTTAAAACTGCACTGGTGGGAAAAAGGCTAGAAATTTCACCAAGGAATTTCTCCCCCACCTAATGATAATGCATCTGCTCATTCTCTGAGGGTAGTAAGAGCTGTTTTAAGGAGCTCTGGTAGCGTAGTGGATACGAATTGGGCTGTGAGATGCAAAGTCAGCAGTTCGAAACTACCAGCTGTTCCACAGGAGAAAGATGAGGCTTTCTGCTCCCATAAAGATTTACAGCCTCAGAAACCCTGTATAGGGTCGCTATGGGTCAGAACCAACTCCATGGCACTTAGCAACAAACAAGAGCTGTTCTAGAAGAATTTCATTGGGAAATCTTACCCCATCTACCCTAGAACCCTGATCTTGCCCCTTCAGACTTCCTTTTGTTCTCCAAACTTGATAAAACATTGAAAACTTTTGAGGATACCCACTCAGCTCTGGTATAAATAGAAGAGCGCAGGATTCATCAGGGGAAGGGTCAGAGAGATGGAATCATCGCTTTCAGAAGGGCAGAGACCTAGATGGAGAATCTGTCCAAAAACAATAGTTTCGAGATTTTTGTTTAATAAAAGGTTTCTATGATTTTGTAGCAGTACTTTTTTATATATGTTGTTGTTGTTGTTATGTGCCATCGAGTCGGTTCCGACCCATAGCGACCCTGAAATGTTTTATTGTGAATTATGTGCTAGTTTACATGGGAGAACATTAGTTTTACATTCATTCTATCGTATATTGTTTCATTGCCACGGTTACAATCCCCTCCATGCGTCATCAACCAACCAAAGGGTATACCCTGCAAGCCTGCCCTCTACACTCCCCCCCGCCTGTTGTCAACACACAGCCCCTCTCCCTCTCTGGATCTCAAGTCCCCAGCTGCTCCATCGCTCCACGTCATCGTCTCGGCGTCCATCTCAGGCATCACTGTGTAGCAGTACTTTTTGACAGACCCTTGTTTAATGACATCTGTACTGGGGGACACTCTGGAAGGCAGATGACATAGTAATACAGACCTGGCTTGGAGAGTGGTAGAATGAATGGGGGAATCCCTGTCCTTTTTTCCTCCCAAATGTCTTCCTCTGAGGTTAAGGGACATAGTTCCTGTTCATGACATTGAGTCCCACACAAGTATAAGGGGCCCCTTGCCCCTATGGCCCGGGGAGGAGTTTGGGGACACGGTAGAGGTGATGAGTCTGTATGCTCTAGGGTTCCTCTCAGTTCTGCACCCCTCCCCCCAAAGCCGGAAGAACCCCCTGAGAGGGGTTGACAGACCAATGGCCTCAATGTCTCCCCCACTAACCACAGTGTAACCTCTTTTCTTACCCAGAACTGAGATACTGACATCCTTCAAAGAACTTTCCCATCAGCCATCGGGAGGCACCTCACAGAGGCCTGCTGTCTCCCCATCTAGACAGGAATAGTCTCCCAGCCTCCCCTTTCTCTACCCAACCCTTCCTTTTCTGCCTTTTAAAACCATCCTTGCCTTGACAGAGTTGTTGTTGTTGTTAAGTGCCATGGAATTGGTTTCAACTCATGGCTGTAAATCTTTGTAAGAATATAAAGCCTCATCTTTCTCCAACGGAGCGCACTGGTGGGCTCAAACCACCAATCTTATGAAGTCCAGTGCTCATCCTACACAGCCACTGTGTTCCCCACGAGTCAATACAGTTGAGGCTTCTTAAATGGCCTCATCTGTGAAATGGGTGTAACATACTCAGCTTTTCTGAGGTTTAGAGATGAGCTCTGGGAACACGTTCAGCTCTAAACCACACAGATACCATCTAACATGTGCCCGGCCCTCCCATCCACTCCTCTTCACCTCTCTGGCTTCACATCTGGCTCAGTCTTTTCTTGTATTTACACACCGGACTCTTGGTGTAGCGCTGTAGGATCAGCACTGGACTGTGAACCACAAGGTCGGCAGTTCAAACCCACCAGCAACTCCTCGGAAACCCTATACAAAGTCGCTAAGAGTCGGAGTTGACTTGATGACACTTAACAACAACACACACCACCTCCAATTTCCGAACTCTCCCCCTGGTTAGCAGATCTGACAGTATTAGCCCTGATTCAACACCTTTCATGGGAGACAGCTGGACACAGACGTTCACAGTCTTGTGAATTCTGAGTTGGTGTGAAAGTTCTGGGACTTTGTGGAATGTGTAGGAATTCGGTTGTGAAGTAGGGTGGAAGAAAAAGGCATTAGAGGCTGAGGACCCGCTTGGACAAAGGCCTTTTCAATAATGTAAGGCGTTTTAGGGTCAGGGCCAAATCCCGGAGGATCCAGAATGCAGGTGGAACAAGTGGGTAGAATGAGTCACCAGGTGAGTCAGGGATGGCCTCCAGGTCTCAAAGCAGGGCCAGGGTTTAAACCCAAGTATCATGGAGTTCTAGTGTGGAGTTGTAGGATAAGCACTGGACTGCTAACCACAAGGTTGGCAGTTCAAACCCACCAGCCGCTCATCGGAAACCCTATACACGGTCGCTATGAGTCAGAACTCATATGCCAGCATTTAACTGCCTCCTAGTCCTGGTTCTCTCCAGCTCAGCCACTCTTACTTACCCTATCAAGTTGCCTGGTGCAAACCAAGCTCCGAGGGTCCCGGTTCTCGGCGACCCCTGCACGGAACTACATTTCCCAGGTGGCCGCAGCGCGAGCGCCTGCGCAATGAGCTCAGTGATGGAGCGCTGACTGGGGGCGCGGCGGCAGCAGCCAGCGCTCGGCGGGCCATTGGCTCCCGGCAGCAGCAAAGGCAGCTCCGAGACCAGAAGAGCGAGCGGGGCCCGCGGGCCGGGCCGGGCCGGGCCGGGGCGTCCGGAGTGCAACCATGGAAGACCAGAAGGTAGGATCCAGGCGGGGTGGGGCGGGGCCTGCGCGGGGGAGGACCGGGGAGGGAGCCAGGTGATGCCGCAGCACACCACCCCCCCAACAGCTGCTCTGCGGCCAAGACCCTACCCCACCCAGTCCCGCCCGTTTCAGCCCCCCACCAAATCCAGGACGCAGACACCCCCACACAAGACCCCTTTGCTGGATTCAATCGTGCCCCTTTCATGCGCCCACCCCCTCCTGGCATCCTGGTTTCAGCCCTGACCCCATCCCCCACACCTTCATCCGGGCCCTGGACCAGGTGTCCCGGGAGGACGCCTCTTGCTCAATCCTGCTACCTCAAGCCACCAGAAAAGGGGCTCAGTCAGAGGCCTGCGCAGGATCCGCCCACAAG